AAAAAAAGAAAACATATTTCCAAGTTGTTCACCTTCTTTACAAAAAAAGAAAAACTTACATTCCACCAAGTGTCTGTTTGGCAACACAGGAAGAAGTCAGGTTTTTAAAAATTTTGTTTTAATCATTTTAATTATGCAACAGTATTACCTGTTCTTCAGGAAGTTGAGATGGTATTGTATTTCTTCTTTATCTTTAATTCTGTTACTCAAAATTGTGCTAGAGAAGAAAAAAGATGGAATAAATAGTAGTCTGAAACACAAATAATAATATACTCTGTGTATTTTTTCTCTCTGATTTCTCTCAAGTGTCCCTCCCTACTAGCCAGGCAAAATCAATCACTTTTCCTTTCATATTAAAGACACTTTAAACAGAGGTACAATGAAAATTTCTACTTATATATATATATATATATAGCCACACTGTATTGTAATAATTTTTATGCCTGGCTCTTCTGATAGAATTCAGCTCCACATAGCAGAATTCTGTCTTATTTTCTCTGTATCCCCTCTAGTGTGGTAGCTTCTATGTAAAGTGTCACTCTGAACTCAACTTCTTCCTAAACCATCTCTATTGACATAAATTAAAATTTTATTGATAGCAAGTCAGGCCACAAACACTTGCTTTTATTTCATTGATAGAATTTCAAGTTTAAAAAATTAACAAAGACTTTTCTGCTGAAGGCAAATACCACCACATTAATTATATCCTTTTCCGAAATAGAAATATACTCTATTACCTTAAGATAGATAGCAATATTTAAAAGAACAGTATCCACAGGAAACGCCTAAGTGGGAACCAAAAGAATGAAATGGAAAAATTTTATACTCACCTTATTACTGATTCCATCATAGTTTGCAAATAGTCTCTGGTACTCTTTGACAGAGGTTGCCATGTTTTTCTCTTGTTGGGTGCTATCTTTATCTGTTTTAGGTTAGTGTGCTTTGTTTGTCCTGTCGTAATAGAAGAGGCTCTGATCAATCTAGGTGTTTTACATATTGTTGCTTAAAAACTGAATGTCTGCATCTAAAAAAGCTTATGAAATTATCAGAACAAAATATTATAAAGCTGTATAAACTGTTTAATTTACTTTTTATCACACAGCTATAACATCCCAGGTGTTGAATATGAATATGCTTTCTATTGATAAATTAACCGAAATACTACCAAGTGATAATAGAAATAATTTTAAATGAAGAATCAAACTTTAATTACGAAAAGTTTCATTCTCAGAAATGGCCTAAATTCTTTAAACATTTCATTGAGAGGACCAGAAAACTATTTTCCAAATGTTGGATGGCAACTGGAACAAAACAGACTAATCAAACCACAAATAGATAATGTCAACTATGTTGCTGGTACTGTTCTACTTATTAGGTATTAAAAAAAGAAATAGTACTGGATCTCATGAAAATCAGTGCTGGAGAGAAGGAATATTGAACAAATTATAGGCGTGCAAAGCATACAAAAGGAAAAAAAAAAGTATTGTATGCTATGGGAGTATAAAACCAGAGAACCTAACCTAGTGTTGGCTGAGGAGACGTAGAGAATCCTTCCACGAAACAGTGATGTTTAAGCAAAGGCAACTACTCCAAACTAGCTTACTCTAAACCAACTTATAATAGTGGTTCCAAACTAATCTATACAGAACAGAAAGCATATTTGTCTTGAAGAAAAATCAGGTTTGCTTTTTATTACAGATCACTAATAATTCAGGCTGTGGGCCACTTTGATTTTCTCTATTTCCTATCAACTCAGTGGCACTGAAGTCTCTACAGTATTTTGCCAGAGGTGCTAAATAAAATTTCAGTTGACCAAAATAACTAACCACTACTACATATTCTTACAAAAATGCAAATGTAGTTGTTTATTACTATCTTTTCCAGAACTCATAAACAAGATGCTGAACATTTTTTCATGAATGTAGATATAGCTTGGCATAGAAGCAGGTTAAACAAGGTAATAGAAAAGAAATACCTTCAGAAGACAGATCTTTTAGATGATTTTTATTTCTTTTCACTGTGTTTCTAACCTAGAGGGGAAAACACATGCATAAACATAAACAGAATTAAACATCAGATAAAAGGATACTACTTTTACAATAGATTTTTATATATGTCAAAGAGTATTCATATAATTTCTAGTAGATAGAAAAAATGTATGTTGCTACTTCTACAGAAAAATGGTATATATTTATCACAGGCAGAAGATATACTAAAGCAATTCTTGACAATGGTGATAATAACAAAATTTTATACAGTGTCAAAGAATGTTTTAAATGAATCATTACTTACTTTGCCTATAAAATAGTGTTACATACTTTGCCTCCAAAACAAATATAGGCATTGCCTAATGAGTAGGGTAAAACCTGAAACTTTTTTTTTTTTTTTT